TTAAAAAGCATTATTCTCAAAGAAGTTTCTGGCGTAATACAAATTGTTTGAACCATTTGCTGGCTTAGACTAAGCCCCACCCTCGCAAATTACATCCTTAGTTATTTGTAAACAAATTTAATATGAAAATTATCGGTATTAAATAGAAGTTTTACAAAAACTTTGCGTTTAAGTCAAATGCCTGCATTCATACAAGCTAACAGTTAATCACTTCAACCCCAATTAAGCTTAAGCACTTAACAACTTGCATATGAGCAGTGAGCAATACTTGACCAAAAGTGAGTACTTGATCTTTGGTAAGCGATTTAAAGGCTTATTGTAATGGCCACGTTACCATTTTCAGGTTAAGTCAATAAAATATAAGCAAAACAAAGTTAAAAGTGTTAATAAATTAAAGTAAAATGTAAAAATGACGCAGTGAGCTAATGACGAGTGGGGTTTTAAGTGAAAATAAAAAAAATGTAATAAAAAATTATAATAAATAATAAATTAAAAAAAAAAAAATTGTATAAAAGAATAAAAAATATTATGTATATATTAAATATTATATTATATATTTTTTCTTTTAAAAAATTATCAACCTTTTTTCTTCCTAACAACAACTATTTATATATCTAAGTGAGCATGCTTTTGACTACATTCAGCTTAGTTACCATGATTGCTTTTTATGCACATGTTCGCCTTCCTTTCAATGTGCTCCTGTACAACATGCACGATATAAACGCCGACAATATCGCTTTAAATTTTGATTCTTTACTTGTCCAGCGCCATGTTCACCTTCTTTGTAAACTTGTTCGAAACCAGAGCGGATAAGAGAATTACCAAAGGCTGTGCGCGCCGCCTGTCATAGCAAGGCGTTTAACGTGGCAGAATAGACAGTCGTTTAGTGCTGCCACTTGTTTTCTTGACGGACATGCATAAGTACCTATGTTTGTATGGAGGTGTGTTTTTTTGGAATTATGTTGTATACATACTAATACAAAGAGATTCAGATCAGCTAAACTTGATATGCAGCAAAATTTGGTTATGAAAAAAATTCTGTAAACATTTCGGATTAAAATGGCATTCTATAGCTCCAGCTGCAAGCTATGTTGCTAGTACTAATATGACCTCAATTTTTTAGAACGTGCCAAAATTTATAATTCATAATTATTTCGACATTATGACATGTTTATTAATTTATTACGAAATTAATTAAAATGTTGGAAAAATGGCTGCAACGAATTGCATTATAAATTGAATAATCATATGCTATATTTGAGAAGAAGTAGTACAACCTTCCAGAATTCTAGTAGCTATCCTAAATTATTGCAAATTTTGAGTTTATTTGAGCATATTTAAGCAATTAAATGATAAGAGTTAGTAAAAGTTGAAAAGCGATGTTTTAATAATGTTGAACATACACGGTTGCCTGATGCACTTTGTTACTTGTTAAGCCAAAGTATTCTTAAAAGTGTATAGAAAGCTTTTCGAAAGTAGGTTTCCCGAATTCCGAATTATAAAATTTCTCGTATAGGATTCAGAAGCATTAAATTTTATTACATGTACATATATTACCTAAAACTAACTTTAAATATTTTTGTTAAATTCAGTGACTATAGTTTTCTAAATAAAGGTTATGAAGTGATGAGTGGTTTCAGTATATAGAGTTCTTGGTGAGCGCATTAGAAACTAAAAATTTGATCACGAATACCGCAAAATAAATTTCTCGAAATAATATATTTTAATTTTTCTAACAAATATTTCTTGCGCATAAAATGTAAATATTAATTAAATCAAAAATAATTTCCGGATCCCGAAAATAAAGTTTTGTCATCCCGAATTCTCAAATTAATATATTTTATTTTATTATTTTTTAAACAAATATTTATTGTAAAATAAAACGTGTTCAAAAATTTAATTTTTACACACAATTTGGCCGCGTTTTAATGTGAATACATTGCTGTTTTTCTGATTTACTATCGAAATTTTAACAAAGTCAGTCAACTTTTGCTAGTTTACGAGATAATTTGTACTCAAATACCTATTAATAATGGCTCAAGTGATTAATTTTGCTTTTACAAAGATTTTTTACAACTTGCGTCACACTTTAGCAGACAGTAGCTGATTTATAGTTTCATTTTTCATGAATATTTTATTATTACTGTTAGAGTTCAATGTGATTAATAGTAGAATTGTGCAGTCAGATAGTATTCAGTACTCTTACAAGTTCGTTAAAGAGAAAATATGACTTCGCACAGTTATAAGGAAACAATTTACTTACTTAACAACCACTAAATAAATTTTAGATTTAGGAAAAAAACTTAACATGTGCATTTTCCGTCAGCAAATGTTGATTATGTTAAGTACAGTTTAACAGTCAACTGGTAGAGATGCATGCTGACGTTTATACCTCAAAGCGTATACATATGTACGGATTAAAGATGAGCGATTGCTATAGGAATAATATAAGCACTTATTTTTGTTGTGGCTTAAGTGTTTACTGTAAATTTATTTTCTTTTTTCTTAATAGAAGACCATTAACAGTATCTATCAATGTTGTAACAGCAGACAATGTTAAAATTGCCATTGGTTAATGGTGTTTGTGTTAAATGAGTCTGTAAAGCCAGAGAATGTTAACCAAATAAATAAAAACACTCACTGGCCACGATCATGCTACATTACTCTGTAAGGCTGTTACGCTAATTAGAATCTTACTAAATGCAACATTATAAATCAAATATAAAGCTCCATAGTTTTATAACTGCACACCGCTAATGCACACACACACACACATACATTTTAGTAAATAAATTTTAGCGTAAGCACTTAAGTGTTGCTGCAACTGTAAACATTTCCTAACAATTTCTATGACAATATTTGCACTTGTATGATGAGAAGAAAATGACAAAACTACAACAAAACAACTTTTTACAATCTTACATATATATTTATTAGATAATCGCACGTCTTTGTATATTGAAAAATAATATAATATTATAAATAAACTAGAAGAGCATGCAATCACTGACGTGATTGCGCTTCTAGTTAAGTACGTGTGTGTGTACTGCTTTTAGGTAGTCTGTAATGTGAAGTAACACCTTTTTAATTGGTTTTACTAAGCGTTCACTTAGCGTGTAGAAAATTCCTTTGGAGCGTTGGAAATAACTTTTATAATTATTAATTGGTTTTTATTATACAAAACAATGTAATTTACGTTATTTTTACGCTAGGAGTAACGGGTAAATTAATTTAAATATAAATTTCTAGCTGTTTTTAATGAGATGGAATATATTTAATATAAGAAATAGTTAGGAGTTTATTTTTTCATTAACAGTAATTTAAATTTTTTGAAAATATTAAATAAATGTTTTTATAAAAAGTGCTTGACTTATGAATACATAGATTTTATTTACCAAAAATTGTGTATAGAATTTTAATTAAGGCTAGTTTTTAACGACGAAGTACAATAATTAATTTTTTTATTAAGAATTTTAGGAAAATAAATATAGATATAAATCTATAATTTGTAATACATTTGGTATATAGGAATTATGCGTGTTGTTATAAAACTGCTGATAAATAGTTCTCAAAACATTTTAGAGCATTTTCAATACTATATTATTGGGCTGGAACGGCTGGAAAACCCAACGAGGTCAAACCACATCAAATATGTGTACTTGTTGTGTGGCAATTTCTAATCGATCCTCGTAATTAAACCTTGAACAGGGTATATTAAGTATGCAAAGAAATTTGTAACATCTAAAAGGAAACGTCGAAGACCTTATAAAGTATACCTATATATAAGTAAATGATCAGCGTGACGATCCACTCATCTGTATATATTGCGATGTGAAGTGATTAGTTCAGTTAGTTCATTTGCCGGAATTGCCGATATCGGTCCATTATAGCTGTCATACAAACTGACCGATCAAATTTAAGTTCTTACATGAAAAATATTATATTTGGCACACTAATTTTATAAAAATTGGTATAGATTATTGTCCAAAGCTACGCTATAGTCTTTAATATTTTTTTTTTTAATTTTACCACTAGGCACCAAGCGTTTTGTCGACTTGTAAGGGACTTTTGATCCAGCTTATAGGAGTTTTTTAGGTACCACAACGGGCCGGCGTTTAAGCTGTCCAAGTGAGATCCTTTTTGGGATCGACCTCCTAACCTAACCTAACAAAACTGCTATAGCATATAGCTTTCATACAAGCTGATCGATCAAAATCAAGATAAATATATTTTTATACTCTTTTATGCTGTAAGAAATGAAGCTGTCAAGGGTATTTTAGCCGAAGTTAACGTTTTTTCTTGTTCTAATTTCCTTTAAGCCGAAATGTAGGCAACATTTATTGGTTTGTTTTTGGGCATACAATAGCTAATTGCTTTTACATTTCTGTTTCAAAAAAAGTGATAAAAATC